ACTTTGACTTTATCTGAACTGTGTAGGGTGAGATGTTACAGAAATTATTCTGTGGCTGGAAGGATGAACCTAACTGTGGACAAACAGAAGTGTGGTTAGAAGTTGAATACTTGGTGCCAAACATGCTAGCTGGACATTTTAGTGCTATGGCGTTATTTAATTAGAACCAGGTAAAACTAGGTAAGAAGTAATGGTCAGCAGTCATATGACTTGCTAACAAATACAATTTCATGATGTTCTGTAGATATCCCAAAGTGTTAATTATAACAGTTAAGTTCTTTGGAGCAGTTAAATTCTTTGGCTCTGAAAACATAAGGTTTAATGGGTGTATCACCTAGTAACTTGGCATTATTAAATATAAAGAGACTAAAAAACATGGTAGAAGCAATGGAAAAGTCTGGCCAGCATGAGTAGTTTGTTTTAGAACTATAGAGAAATCTATTAACCACTGGCGCTGTAGACCAATTTGATTAGGAAGTAGGACAAGCTGTCCCTTTCATTACACTGAAACCACATTGCACTTTGTATCAATTACTTGGCTGTCTGCAGCCTGCAGATTAGAATAAAGGGCTTTCTCAGTGTTTGTGAATGTTGCGGATTGCTGATTAGTAATTAGAGTACTGAATGAAGGAAATTAGGCCAAGATTGAATGGGAATGAGAAAGTCTTAATTCAGTAATACAGATGTTAGAAACAGATTGTCTTGAACAGCTCATTCAGTAGAGTGACATTGTACATTTCCATGGTGCTGTTTGCTTCCCATGTAAGACTCAAGTCAAATGCCTTGGAGATGGTTTCCTCTTCTATGCCTTGTGATATAGCTGTATGGCCATTAATTTAGTGAAATATCCTGTTTGCCAGGTGTGGGAACTAGCTGATTTTATTGTAATACCAGATCATTACTTAATTCATATGCAACCAAGCACAGCACATGGAAAGCATTATAAATCTATTTACAATGTGGCTGGTCTGATGATAACATTGCATTAAATTCCCAGGTGAGGCAATTTAAGCAATCGCTTTGCCATGTGCACGACATGGAAATTAAATTCTCATATATGCTTTAGTAATAAACCAACCTCATTGTTACGTTTTTGCTTGCGGTAGGCTGTAGAACCTCATTCTGGTTGCAGATTCTGTGTGTCCCATATAGTCATACAACAGGCAGTACCAAAGATGACAATTTTTAATTAATATAGACTATGTTAATTCCTGTTGTTCCCGGTTTTGTAGTGTGTGCCCATAGACATAGTGAGCTCAATTGGGAAATGTCAGAGTGTAGGCCAAGTGGGTATATTATTTCGAGCCAAATTTCTAGACCAAACTGAACAAGTACCTTTGTTTGAATCTGGCTTTAAGAAAACCAGCCAGTCAATATGCAAGCATCCTGTTCATATCAACCAAAATATCTTTACATCTGAAATTCTTACTTTCATAACTACAGACCCACTTTTGTCATCATTTTAGAGTAGTGAGAGAAACTTGGTACCTCTAATTTCTCAGGGGAAGAAATCTATCGTTAATTTGTCACATTTTTGTCATATCTGTCGTATAGAGTTTTTTTCAACTTTAGTTCATTTGGAGTCTGAAGTATTAAATCATAGAAAGGTAAGTTTAACATAAGTACACAACTAAAGTGAGGACTGCTCTCAAATCAGTGTGTGTGTGTGTGTGTGTGTCTGTGTGTGTGTGTGTATGTGTGTGTGTGTGTGTTTGAAGTACTGTCATTTGAAGCTTTTTCACCATTATAATATAGGCCAGAAATTGCAGTAGATTACAAACTGCAGAGAGCTTCGGACTTTTCCTGAAAAGCTCCCCATAAAGCACCAGTAGACGGTGGTAACTGACAACCAAGACTAAAAATGTTGACAATTTCTTGATTTGCCTGGTTAGCTTATGTATAGAAGTCATTAACTATTTATAAAATGCATTATGAATTGGGTTCCTTCAAACTGTAGCTGAATGTGTGACATTTCCAGCTCCAATTCTTTTGCTTGCATTTGGTTAAGTACAGATTTTACAGTCTTAATAATAAAGGAAAATACTTTAGGTTTATCAAGGTACAATAAAGGTGTCAGTTCATTAACTTAGAACCTTCTAATCTAAGATAGTGTGTAGGTACTTAGTAATCCAGCATGGGGTTTTTTAAATTCCATAAAAGAAAACACGATTATTGATGTTTTAGGAATAACTATCCTTAAAACAAGCCATTTGTCATTCAAAATAATTTCGTCTTTATTTTTCTGGTTGTTGTTTTCAAACAGTGCCACAGTGATTTCAAAGAATGAGTTATGGTTAATTACATAGAGTCAGTTTACTTAAAAAATCAAATGTTAAGAAATTATGAGAAAATGACAATGTTGGGCTTCCAAATATAATTCTTAATAAAGAACAGCCTGGATTTGTCTTACTTTTGGAAAACAGAGCTCTAGTGCAGAGTCCCATTTTCACAGTAGTGTGCCATTCTCATGGGGAGTTATTCCTGATATTTGCAATGAAATGTCTTTTCAGTTGTGCAAGTCAGTCCTGCCAGGAGCCACTTTGTTATGCCCTGCATATCATTTGCTTAATTACATCCAGAGATGCCCTCCAAGACTAGTCTCTACTGTCCCAGTGGCGAGGGAGGACTGTCCCTGAGACCTCCCTTCAACTGTGGGCGCACCCACTTCTGTGGCTGAGCCCGGACCCTCCTTATCGCCGCTTGTCAAAGCAGCGCCTCCTAACCAGAGCAAGATTAGGGCTCTGCATTTGTGATTTCTTCTTCTAAATAAGAGCATAATGGAAGTGAACAATCTATGTCAATTTGTTGGCATTTGGTGAAAAGGGGGAAACAAAAACAATCTCCATATGATATTTTCGCATCTTGTGGAATGTTTTAGTCCCCCATCGTGACTAAATGAATAATGCAAAGGGCCGCTCTGATGCATCAGCCCGTCTTAAAGGCCCTCATTTTCTTTAATGCTGTAAAATACTTTGGCCTCACTGGCCAGAGACCGATGGCGGGGGTCTTCAAATGGGCAAAGAGGTTTGGCATGATCGAAGTATTGTACCATGGGCCGACCTTGTGACTTATCATTTTAAAATACTGTTCCTTGTGAGGTCAGTAGAAATGGTAATCCACAGTAGGTTCAGCAAGAGAAGCAGGGTAAGCACATGCTTTCTGTGGTGAGAAAATGTCTGCTGAGTTCACAAATGAGAGGCTTGGGCCACTCCTGAACTTTTAAGAGGCCACATATAGATGCCCTTACTGAGCACATACCAAGGACTGCTCTCTCTGACTTGTTCTTCTCCCTGTAACACCACTGCTAAATTTTAGGATGTGTTTGTGGCACGAAAGTACTGTTGAAGAGGGAGACTCTGGGCAGGCAGGGGTGGGTGCCTCAGTCTCCTTTATGCTGAAATATTCTATGTTGAGTCTATCTAGAGCTAGTTTATAAGGAGAAGAAACTCTCAGCTGAACATCATGATCTCGAGATTCTAGGCTCAGCTGAAGGAGAGTTACCTTTAGAAATCTATGCGACTACATTGTTTTCCTCAAACCAGTATCTGGGTGGCGTGCGTGTTTATTTATATTCCAGTAAGCCTTTTAAAACTGGGTACTACTAGATCCAGCATATCATTTGCTTAATTACATCCAGAAAAGCAATAAACTGAATTATATGCAATAAGCCAAATTCCCTTTTATGTGTCACACTTGGGAAAATTGAGAAAACAGTCAAAAAATTATTTCCTGTGTTTTGTGCTTCAGATAAGGCACCCACTTGAGAAAGACTAGCTTTTCCAATGATCTGAAACTCAGTGGTGGTTCTCGTCTGAGATTCCTTTAAATAGTATGATTTTAAGGCATAATGAGCCGATGGAGGAAAAGCAGCGTCATTCACCGGGGACTGCAAAACCGAGTTGAGTCATAACCGTTGCCTTTTGCTTCTGGATTACAGTGATCCTTTGAAACCATAGTAACTTTCTTCCAGATCATAGAAGAACCAGCAAGAACCTTAAGTTCTAGACTGTAGGAGCCCGAGAAAGACAGGACAGCTTCCCACCCTCTGTTTTCTAATTGACCATTTTTACTTGGTTGGTTGAGAAGCAGAGTAGGCAGCAGAATGACTTTTAACCCTGAAATGGTGAAGATGAAGCAGGGCCTGATAAGCAGACTCAAGTTTCACAACTATTGTTCAGAGGCTCCCAGCTTTCCCAAATGTGTGTATTTAGATAAACCCCGAGTTTCTTAGAGCCATGTCCCTCTGTTTACAGGTGAGGGTAGGGTCCTCGCAAAACACAGTTTCACTGAATATGGTGACTCGCAGTCCACTGCCTGTAGTCACAGGAACTGGGAACCTTGTTTGCTTTCCTGGTGTCCGTCTGTCTGCTCCCCTGCTTCCCTCACTAACATTACCCTTCCTTACGCCATTACTTATAGAGGAGTTGGAGATGTTTGAATTACTGCCAGCTAGGGAATGGCCCTTCAACCCTTCTCTTCCTGGATGGAACCATCACAGTGATGAAATACAGATGTGCTTGTCCAGGTATCCCAGTGTACAGCTGGTGATATGAATATTAGCCTGGAAGTGGAGATTTTTAGCGCTCAAATTGTACAGTGCATTTCCTACTGAGACTCCCTTATTCTCCTGTTTTAATTACAGTCTGGGTTTTAAAACTATGCAGCTGTATAACTGTATTTCTTACAGTTCAGTGGTTTTATTCAAACAATGTGCAGAAGAATAAATTAATTCTAATCTATTTATGAGAAATAATAGAACATTAACACAAAGCGGGAATTTCTTTCATGATTGGTATTTCTTCTTAAAACAAACTTCCAATTTCCACTAAGCTCCTGGGTTCTGGAACCTTGAGTTAGGCTTGCACATCTTGGCCGGTAGGCTTCCGTTAGGGGGCTCCCGAGGGCTGGAGATGGCACGCCTAGCTACCGACAATGCTTGGTTGGATGCGTTCACTTGCTAACGTTCATCTCGCTCTTTCCCTTTTTGCTTTGTTTTATAGAAAAGGTCACGGATCGCCTACAGTGACGAAGTGCGGAATGAGCTCCTAGGGGATGATGGGAATTCCTCGGAGAACCAGGTAGAATGCTAATGCCGTTGGCCCGGTGGGTGGCTGGAGGGTGAAGGAGGTCACAGGCACACTGGGCTCTCAAGCTGCTCCCTAACAGCATTAGCAGCAACTCATGTGGAAGCGATACTGTTTAATGCAAAGCTCGAGTCCTAAGCAACTTCAAAATGTTTCTTGGAGATCTTACATTTAACCCTTTACCTTGTGATCACTGTCTGCTATCTTTTAAAAAACTCTTTTCTTCTCCTTTCTTTATTATTTGGTACTTAAGGAATAACTTGAAACACGCTGTTTGCAGACAAAGCCAAGGTCTTCACCTCCAACACATGTGAGAGGAGTAAAAAAAGTACATAATGCAGCTCTGATAGGAATGCAGCATAATTAAATCAACACTCGCAGCACAGCAAAACAAATGAAAGCAAGCCTTCACAATTCAGCAGCACAGCCCTGGCTCCCATTGTGTCGCTTCTTAAAAATACATTCACCGAAATGCAAATGACAGCACCAGTGTGGGACTTGTGTGCCTACCCAGGCAGAGGCCTGCCCTGCGTCTGAGGGATGACAGTGGTGACAATAGCAGTAGGATAAGCCCTGCTTGCATGCACCTTAGGGTCTGCATACAGAAAGGAAATATATATGATACAGTTTCTTCTAAAAAGGGTCTTACAACTTGTCTGCCATCCCTCACTGGACGGCACAGTCATGTCACGAGTCTAATTAGCACCCTGCTTCTTTCTTTGAATTAGTGCTGCGGACATCGTAAGTTCACGTAGGTATGATGATACACGCAACTCTTTTTCAAAAGTGTTTCAAGACCCTTGGTGTAAACGTGATTTTGGAAAGCCTCACACAGCCCTAGGGACTGATGGGTAACAGGGAGCACCATAGGTAAGACCTGAATATATCTACTGAAGGCAGGTCTTCCAATGGCTGCTCCTCCACCTGAACGAGCCACTCACTGGGTAAAACGGAGCTGTGACTCCACAGGAAGGTGCAGCGCGCGCCTGTCCAGCGTGCTAGAATCTGCAGGGTGCACCTCCCACTCCGAGGGGTCCATGCTCACAGATCCCGAATGACACACCGTCAGGGTGTGAGCGAGCATCGTGACCTAGGAGGAGGCTGGCGAGACAAAGGCACCCATCCATCCACCCGAAAAAGGGAGAAGAACCCCTGAGCGGGACATTTGTTTTGTTGGCTTCCTCACTGTTTGAATGGTATCAGGCTGAGTTCAGACGTCACCCAGATTTGACTTGCGGTTTCAACTGTCCTGACTGAAACGTGAGGACAGCTACAGGGGGCTGGGGCAGAACAAAAATAAAGGGTGATGTTGTGAGGGGTTTCTACTCATAATAGATTAGATAACGTGAGGATGAGAGGAGAATGTTTTCTGCCTTTTAAAAGTGGGGCTGGATCGTGCTTGCCTCTTGGATGAATGAATCACAATTTTCTTCTCTAACTAGTGTTTTTTTTTTTTTAAAGCATTGTCTTTTTTGCAAGAGGAAAAGAAACCCCTAAGAAATGTAAAAAAGTGTTTGTGTAGCTCTCAAATCAGTTCTTTCAAAAGCTGTAGACTTTCCCTCGTCTGACACTGCTGCCTAGTGGAGAAGGAGAGGACTCCAGTCTAGCCCAGGCTTCCATAGTGTGGTGATGCTGTAGACCTCTGACAGGGCCCTTTTAACGTGTGCTCGCGTCTCTTAATTGATGTTTAAGGCACCTAAGATATTAGCCTTATGTACATATTAGTGTGATCTTTATGCCTAAAGAAAAATACCCCACAAAAATAGATTTGAGCTCATATTTTCTGAATTTTTCAAATTGTATTTCTGTCACTTTAAAGTGATTATGCAGAAATTTCTCCTGGACTTCTATGAATCAAACTTACAGATTCTGAAAGTGCTTGGGGAACCTGCAGTTGCTTGTAAGGAGCTGTCACTCCAATAAATACAGCATGGTGAATTGCAGTCATGAGAATATGTAAATGGTAGATTATGACTTATGTGAACTTTTCAGCCAAAAATTTGAATGAGGTGTGAAAGTTCAAAGAGATCATACTAAGCTTTCTGGATAATTTGTTACCATGCAGAGCAGAATTTCCACACCATGATGAAGTCATTAAACCCTGTGTCGAGGCTCTTTGTCATAATGCAGGAATTTAAATGAGCATACCCTTAACCAATGGCTTCAGATGTCACTTGAAAATAACTTTTATTCTCTATCAGTGTTATTCTGACTCAGCAGTCTCCCTACAGAAGAGGTTTTAATGGGCTTTTCAAATAAATTTTTATAGGGCAGATTCTGAGAAGGTAGGTGTTCTGGATGGGAGTTCTACCCACAGTCTGTATAAGTAAGAAACTCTCTTCTACCCGGACAGAAGTTTATGCTCACATCCATTCTTGACACACTGGCTTTCAGGCCTTCTTGTCATATATTTATGATACACACTTTTAATACATACATAAATGTTGGGTATAAACAAAATTACTCATAGTTCCTTAAGTTAGCATGTGCCTGTCAGCTATATAGAGTGACCGTAGGGGTGAAAACAAACTAAACAATCAGTGGCTATGACTGCAATCGTGAACTACAGACTTCTTTTCCACTGCCCTGTACACCTCCACACACACACACACACACAGTGGCGGTGTCCTTGTGACCGTTTGGGCAAGCATGAATACAGTAGCAAGCAATTAGCTCTGTCTCTGTGGCACTTATGGCCAGTTCTGTTGGACATCTACAACTGACTGTTGATGCCATAGATGTGATCTTCTAGCTGGCGATCAATGACAGTAATATACTTGGGTGTGTATTTATACTTCTGCAGTGGTTGGGGATACCCCGTTTGTACAGTTAAGGGTTATTGAGGAGTATCTCTAATGTCTTCAGTATAATGTACACCTAATTACATTCCAAGTCACTTCCTCTGGACAGTTTCTTTCTGACTCACATCTCTTTCATTCAGTTAAATACACCTCGTCCTGGATTTACCAAGACAGGGAGCCGTGTTGCGGACCTGGTGCCCCGTATTCCTCATGTGTCCTCCAGTGTGCACTGTTTCATTTCTCCGAGAGTTGAGCTACTGGATGCAGCGATGTAGCGTTTTCTCCGGGTGGAGAGCTTAATAGTTCTGGATCTCTTTTCATGAGAGCCATTCTCAAAACAAGCACAAAGCAGACTATAGAATAGAACCATAGACTTTCAGAGTGGAGTGTGACAATGGTGTCAAATAAAATACTCCAAGTTCTCATTTGGAACGGTAATAGAATCTCTGTTGCCATATGCAAAATTATATTGATCCAGTGACTTTGAGAAAATCCTACAAAGAAGATTTTTGAAATATATAAATGGTGGCATAGTCCCCAACATGATGAAGTTTTTGTGGTAAAGCAATATTTGACAGATAATGATTGCTTAATTTTTTAATGCAAGGTTCTCTTAAGTTCCGATTTGGGCTTGCTGTGCGTAAAGTGTGTCAAACTTCAGCTACAGACCAGGGGGTGAAGTCGGTCAATTTAATTCCGCAAGATCTGAAGAAGGTTGGTATCATTTCATATAGCCCCGGCAGAGCAGATCATTACCGGGCACAAATCTGCTCGTTGGTGCTGGGATTTCTAGCAAAATAAATAGACTGTCATCATAAGTTCAGAAAATTGTGTGTTCGACCCACGATAATGTGTAAAGGGCGTTTAATAGAGTTCAGCATTTATTCGTTATCTGTATGCGGACAGAGACGGCAGTGGCGTTATCAGCTTTAAAAAAATTCGGGAGTTCTGGGAGTCACGTGACACGCCCCCCCAGGTTCTCTCTCTCGCGCGTGCGCGCACACCCACCCACCCTCGCGTGCTCCACAGTGCAGTTTTGATTTTAGTCACAGCAGAAGGCTTAACCACAAGAGATTCCACTGGTTCAAACCAGCGTAAACCAGATTTTTTTCAGCCCACAAAGGAACAGATTACCTCTTGTATCAAATTCTGCATTCCGGGCGGGGTTGTGGGGAGAAATCTTTGTTTAAAAAAAAAAAAGATGTGCAAATGATGGTTTCGCACACCTCCATGGTGTCTATGATAGAGCTAGTAACTCAGTAAATGTCCAAATCACTCCTTCCAGTAGAGTCTAAGCATTGTTAATTTTCAAAAAGCAACCATCTTTGTTTACTTCGATGCTTAACTCTCAGCCTAACCAAAAAAAAAAAAAAAAAAAAAAAAAAGGTGGCGGGGGGGGAGATGAAGATTAGAAACCTCCCTTTACCTAGCTTAGCTACAAATCCAGTGTGGAGCTTGAATGCAGCCATGCAGCACAAACACGATAGAACGTTTTTTGTTTGGAACCCATTGAAAAGGCAAATGGGTAGCATTTTTAAACACCCTTGCTTGTGGCAGGGTGGTATGCCCCGATGGACTCTATTGCAGTAGAGTAGTTTTAAACTTTGGCCCTTTAAGTATCATAGTCAACCGAAGAATAGCGCCCCAGAAAGAAAAGAGCTGTGCGATCAATTCCCACGTCGTCTCTCTCTGAGATTTAGTGTTTGCGGTTTTTCTCCCGTGATGTTCAAATGGCTAAGAGAAAGATTCCAATATGTGATAGGCCAGGTATCTTAGTTTAAATTTTAACTTCATCTAGAGAACAAATGTGTTGCTTTCCACATGAAAGATGAGACACACTACACTGGGTGGCTGTGGCGAAGGGAATGACTATATCTAAAAGCAATAACTTTTTGTCTGGTCTGAACTATGACATTTAAAGTTTGCCATTTAAAATTTTGCTAAGTGCAGACTGAGATGCCGTACAGTAAATTCCGAATCCTTTCTGAAAAGGGTCTATGACAATTTGGATCTCTTCCTTCCAGGTTTGAAGTACTTCCCTGTAACAAATGAAATAACAGAATAAGCTGAAATGCACCCTTGCCTTCCTTGTATTGAGACTGAAACAGCACTAAGTGTTGAGGATTCAGGGCTGTGGTAAACATGATACTTATAGAGAGAATTGTAGAGAACCATTCATAGCACATTTCTCCAAAGAAATCACTTAGTTTATTGGCCTGCATGTGTTAAGTGTTGTAACAGAGGTTACAGACACTTGTATGTTTAAAAATTATCAGTCGTAGTCCTGAATGGTTGAGGATGCAAATTTCAAACATTGGCTGTGGCTCATAGTCTTTTGTGGCACGGCTTCTATTCTGTTCAGTGTAGAAACTGTGGTGGTAATTTTAACAATACAGCAATGTTTGTGGTTTAGAATGATGTCAACCCCATACCCAGATTGGTCCAGATTTATGATTTCATAGATTCTTGGTTTCTAGGAGCTTTCCGTATCTGTTGTAGTTACAAAAATAGGAAAAGGTAGGGGATTAAAATGTTAACCATAGACAAACTTACTAACAAATAAAAGAGTGGTTTTTGATTTGACTTTAGTGAAAATGGACTTCAGTACAAATACATTAAGAGGGTTCTTTGCTTTGCAATGTCCCAGTTTGGAAGATGAAGATTACTAGAAGACAAAGGAACAGAAAGTCAAATAAAAACTCACCCAGTGAGTGCTGTACTGCTTAAGAAAAAGCATAGATCTTGACATCAGCTCTTCTGATATGTGCTTTTGTTGATGCTCAGCTGAAACAGTATTAACCCATGCAACCCATCACTACATGGGTGCAAGTATGGCACTGAGCCAGGAAATAATAGGAGGTTTTTGTTGTTGTTGTTGTTGTTTTAAATACTTACTGGAGCCAAAGCATGAACTACTGATCATTTTCATTTGTTGGTAAAATCTGAAATCAGTTGTCACGTCTCTGAAGAGAGAAACATCCTGGAATCTTGTACATACAAAGCCTCTTAATGGTGCCTTCTTAGAAGAGAGGCGCGGTAAACTTGTTTTCTTTTTTTACAATATAGACTTCTATGAAGTCGGTCCCCTTTATTTCATGATGGTTCTTAGATGTACTTTAAAAGAGAATTTCACACTATTCTCTTTGTTTAATGTGACAGTGTGAGAAAGTGATCTTTATTTGTTCAAAACCCTCTGCATGTAGTCTATGCTCAGGTTCTTTTAATGTGTTTGTCTGTGATTTTTAAATGCTAAACATGTAAACAGATGAATTGTCAGTGTTAATTCTGTATCCTGTCACACAGCTGATCTTCTTTCCTGCCATGACTTCCCTTTTTATCTTTTTTTTTTTTGTGCATTCATGTCGCAGTTGATAAAATTACGTGAAGAGGTAAGTATTTCCCAGCTTCCTTTTTTTTTCTCCTTAGTTCTAGTTTCTTATAAAAATTATTTTCTAAATCTGAGATGGATGTGATATTCATTTTTCCAGGGAAATGTACACTTGACAAAACTGTTGACTTTATGGCTTTAAAAATTGTCTCCCTTGCCCATCCTCCCAGAACAGCTGTGTTTGGGGCACTGTTCTTGGCTGACACTGGGGGACAGTTAATATTGAGGTGTATCTTAAAACTGTGCAGAGCCTTGTTGTTTGTACCTGCTTCCCATTTGTTTTGTTTGTGTTAACTTCTCAATGAAATCCTTTTTTTTTTTTTTTCTGATCCTGGTTACTTTACTGCAAACATCACCCACCCCTAGATTTTGGGGTTCTATGTAAGATACCACGGGGAAATGTGCATTGTAAATGCCTTTGCCCTGGTACAAGGACACCTTGGGGCAGTAGTAATCTTGCTTTGGTGTTAAGCACTTTCCTTTCTGTAGGAAACAGCCCCCAAATGAGTTCTCCTTTTCCCTGAGTGCTGTTCCAGTCAAGGGCCAGAGAAATCCCTGCAGCAGTGCCTGCGACTGTGTCCAAGTGACTCTGAGTGGTGTTGTCTCCACGAGGGCCGAGCCCACCACCAATGCTTTGATTAATGACTTTTTCTTCAGTAGCGCTGAGCTCTGTTTTCTCCCAAGGACGCAGGCTGGTCTCCTGCTCAGTGTGAGTCTCCTGCTCACAGCTCCACAGTAGTCTCTGGATTGTGCTCCTTGACTGCTGCTCTCTCTCCTGGGTGGTTCCTGGGGTGGCCGCTGTTGTGTGGATATTGGGGATGTTGACTCCGAGGCTGGGAACAGTGCTTTGAACAACTCTTCCTGACTGAACGCAGGAGTGAGCTCCTAGCTTAGCCAAAGTGATGACATGTGAGCGAAAGGGAGAAAGTGGACCAGTAGCCTCTCATATTTTGATTTTATTTTTTTCTTTCCAAAATGGAAGTATATGTATATATATGCATGTACTAAATCAGTATAGTTACACTAATGATTACTCTCTGAATGAGTAATGACAGAAACATTATTTCTCTGGGAGGTAGACTGTCTCTTTTCTCTATTTAGAGATCCTTAACTTTGCTGAGGAATCTGGATGTTCAAATGTTGCTAAAGTGAACAATAGATTTGAATGCACGTGTATATATACACACACATCACCACACATACACAAACTTACACATGCACATACACTGTACGCAAAGAAACTCCACAGAGCTCTTGTCCCTGAATTGACAGTGATCTTACGGATAGCATTCTTGTGCTTTATAACAAGAAGTATAATTTTGGTCAGATCGTTGTTATGCTATGGTGCAGTTTCAGAGGGGTTCTGAATTCTAAAGGCGGAAAGTCATGTCCCCATCTCGTCTGAAATATATCACTGCTTGATAATTTCTCTTGTTGTTTTTTTTTTTTTGTCAACAGTTTTATGTGTTTCAGTGTTATGTTGATGTTCCTGAAACTGTTGTGTGATAGAATTATTATCAGGAGAATTAGACCTTTTGGGTGACAGAATGGCAGTCTCAGGAGTAGTATAGCCTTGGTCTTTGATTTGGGCGCAACACAAATTCTTGTGGATTAGGTGATGCGACTGAGCTGGAATTGAGCCTGCTCAGAAGGGCTCTTCTCCCTGTCAGGATTTATTCACGCTCATACATCCAGGGTTACCCCAATTTTGTTCTTGCACGCCTTCCCAGAAAGCAGGCACCTATCTGTTCCCAAACACAGCGCTTTGCTGCGTTTGGAAGCACAGTGTGCCCGTCCTTCCTCGTGATGCGCTTTTCAGGATATGCCCTAGTGCAGAGGGAGCTGCTTTGGCTGGCGTTGGCTGTGCCGAGCTGTTGGAATCCTGCATCCCCGTCTTCCCGCTTTGCACAGCTCCTCGCACAGGTTGAGAGCTCCGCCTGAAGCCCCTGCTCAGCTTCACTCACCTGCTTTGAAAAGGGCCAGGAAGAGGGAGAGAGGATGAGTTTGGGCTGGAGCGTGGAGGCACGTTGAAAGCCTCCGCGCCCCTGCACGGCATCGCCTTTCATTTAAACGACCCGGGCAGCGTACAGCTGAGGGAACAATGTAAATAGCGCAGCCGTTACAAGAACTTGATTTTAGCTTGACTTGAGTAAAGAAGTTTCCAAATAGGAAGGGAAACCCTGCTGGGAAGCTGCCCGTAAGCTGACCATCCTCTTGGGTGCAGATTTTCTCTGAGAAGAATGAGACAGTTACTCAGTGCAGCATGTGCAGTGTTTAAGGTTCATTTGGACACTCTGATTCCCATGTAGCTCTAGAGTCTCCCAGATCGCCCGCATTTAAACACTTTATCCCACACATGTGTAGCTTTCGTTCTTTCATCATATGTAAGTATGGAGGAACAGCCAACCCCAGCATGTTCTTATGATTTTTATCTCTGCTAAGCTAAATGTCTTCTTTGAATTTAGGATTTCATACAACATGAAAATAAGCACCAAATTGTCTTCATCTGGACTAAAATTCACAGTTTCTCTTGTTTTCTTGAGTCAGATTGATTTTTTTTTAGAGGATCACCAGTTTGAAGTCCTTTGTTTGGGTAGGAAACAATATGCAGAGGCGGGAAAAAAAAAACCAAAACAGTTTTTACTCCCAGAGCCGGTATATAAGGACAATCAGAATCAAAGACACAATTTTTGGGAAGTTTTAATAGTAATATGTTTTATTTAGAAACACTCGTGCCGAAAAGAGAGAACACTATTGCTCTTCTTTTTCTCAGGGGCAGCCTTCAGTAATTTTGCTTTTTGTGACATAAGAAGGCTTTTTCTCCCCTCCTCCGTTTTATTTACTTCGTTTATTTTCTGGAAGGAGGGTCAGCATTTCCCTTAATTTCTGCACTGTATATTAGACAACTCTACTAATTATTATATACTTCTCTTGCCGCTTCCCGACCTTCACATCAGGTCCTGTCTCTCTGTTCTAAAAGCATTGTTTTAATGATCTCCCCCACCCTTCCCCCAAAAAATTTTTTCAAGGAAAGCTTTGATGTGGCTTTAGCTGCCTCTAACGTCTGGCCGCATCTCAGATGTGTCACCTATGCCGGGAGGGAATAAGGAAATCACGTTTTGAATGGTAATGATAACATACTAATCACTTCCTTTCTTTGAAGATGGAAGCGAGATATTCTGTCAGCATCCCTGGCTGCTAGAGCTTGGAGGCACTGGTCTAGGTGTATTAGCTTAAGTGTGCATGTCAATACAGCTTGCATCTCCAAGATCCATGGGGGCTCATTAGAGCAAGGTAGATCATCTCACTGGACAGCCGCTCAGATAATGTGTGTGGCACCTCCTTTTTATTATTATTGGAAAGCATTGCTTCAGTTTTAAGTGACATCTGTCAACAACACAAAGTTATATAGTTAGGGTTGCATGTTTTTCTTTCTCTTTGACTAGACATCGAAATTGATATGAGGGCAAGAGATACTCATTTATACAAATACACATAAACATAAGCTGCCCACAACCAAATACACAGGCACACATATTCATATATTTCTAGGTGCCTAGCTATATGTACATGTATACAACATGCATGTACCATTCATTCCTAGACATGGTTAGCCTATGAACCTGTTTTGGTGATGTGAGTGTATCTGCTTGGGGGGGGGGAGAGGGATCAGGCACATTTATAATGTCTCTGTGTAGAAAGGAAAGTTTAGAATATTGTAGTCCTCTAATTTGCACATGAGATGTAATATGAAGGGGTTGTATATAATTTTTTCCAAGGGTTGATTGTGATTTTAGTTCGCAGTCCAAAGCACTATGTGTTAACAGTTCACTTTAACCTAGTGTTGCATATTTGGGGATAACCTGGCAGTTGCTGCCATAGCACGTAAGTCCTGTGTGTTTTCTGTTCCTCGGTGGTTGTCCTGTGTGGTCTGTGAGCTACAAGTGCTGTCTGACATTCAGTTTCAGTGGTGTTGCTGTTCTGTGTGCCATCCTGATGTACATTCAAAAGAAGAAGCATTCTCCCAAAAGTTCCCGTGTAAAGATCACGATTTGCAGACATCAAAGGACCAAGTGATTGTTGGGAGTGACTGTATTGTATAAAGCTAAACACAAACAGGAATCCACACTGTGTGTCTCATCTGTGCCAAAACAGGAAAGATCCAGTTGTCTCTGTTCTTCATGCATTTCTCAGTGGTGTGGAGTAAGATTTGTTGTGTCCACTCACAACAAGGGGCTCCTTTTCTACAAAACAAAACAAAACAAATAAGTGGATGGTCCATGCATGTCTGACTGGCAATCTATCCATTCCATTGCTGTGGCTCCTCTGATGAACTGTCTGCTGAAATTTAACTGTAATGGATTGTGGATACCCCCACCCCATTTTAGGACATACAAAGGCATTATTTTTTAAAAAGGCAAAAAAGAGCCTTGTAGGCATTTGTCTGACTCCCACTTCGTTTCAGAGGGCACATCTGCTGGATAACACGGAGAGGCTGGAAAGGTCATCGCGGAGACTAGAGGCTGGATACCAGATAGCAGTGGAGACCGGTAAGAGTTCTGAAAGTGAGCAAATTGTCTTGCTTATGCACAGCAGTCTTCACAACACATGACATTTCAGCGCAACTTCAAAGGAGCAGCAGAGACAGCAGCCCGAGATGTGGTTTACATATTGGGGAGACAATTGGGAGCTGATTTGCGCTTATCTTTTTTCAAGTTAAAAGGCGTGACATCTACTGAGAACCTTCCTGAGGTTCGCAAGTCTCCGTCTGAAAGCAGACGGCTACTTTGTCTAAATTCCACATTTGTCTTAATGTGCAGTTACACGTTGTCAGTTTACCCACCCGCGACGGTGGAGGGTGCACGGTGTAGCCACTCTTGTTTGTGACCCGGGTTCTAGTCACATCTGAAAAAATTAACATTTTAATCAGTCTAAATGATAGGAACTGGGAACAAAGACACAGTGATACCTAGCTTGCTTGTTTAACTCTGTGTTGGAAATGACTCCTTTAATGACTATTTTATAAAAGTCACAAACAACCTCTAACAAGGCATGAAAATATCTATAGAACAACAAAGCTAATAGTCGCGATTATCTTATTACCATTGGTTTATACTGTTTAGACTTTTGGTTTGAATTGACAGGTCTTTTTGTGTGTGTGAATATTTCATGCAGTGAGTGTTTATAAATAGCAAGCGTCATGAGTACTAGTTTCTTCTTATTTTAGCTATTCCTTTTGTTTTCTAAACTGTAAATTATAAATAATGTATTTTTCATAGTTTGAACCATTCTTGCACATCATATAGACAACAGAAATATATGATTAACAGAATTTTCCCTGAAAAAACTAATTTACTATTTCCAAATCATCAATTGTTTTGAAGAGTGGGTATAACAAAAGTGTCCCTAGGCACTCTCTCTCATGACTGGCCAGTGTGGCCGCCCTGGCTATGTGGCTGTCCTGGATTGGCTGCTTTATGTGCTGCATTCTGATGAGCCAAGTAGGAGATTGTACCTGTATTACTGGGAGACTGTACATGTATTACTGGGAGACTGTACATGTATTACTGGGAGACTGTACATGTATTACTGGAGACTGCACATGTATTACTGGGAGATTGTGCATGTATTATTACTGACAAGGAAGCCGTAGAAGACCATTCACTTCCCGGATGTTAGCAATGTGGGCTGCGGCTTCCCCCAGGTTACTACTGTTGGGCTGACTCTCTGCCTGGACGGGTTCCTTTGGTCTGAGGTTCACCCTCAGAGCAAACTCTTGGGGGGTACTATGAAGAGTGGGAGGAGCCACATCCCAATCCCCATTCCTAACTCTAATTACTCTGAATGACTTATCTCACTTCCCTAATCCTGCTCATTCTTCAGTACAATAGAAGCAAGTTACACACCTGAAAATTCTTACCATAATAATGTATATTAGGTTAAAGTATTTTATGTGCTTTAAAATACATAGATGGATGTACATATTATTATTGTGTGGCCATTTGGTGATCCATAATTATGGAGAATATTTTTTGTTGTGTGTGAAAATTTGTGTGTTTTAAAGGAACAGAAAAGGGCATGCTATTTGGGCAGTGCTCGGGAACTGCGGCACTGTCTCTGCTGAACTTTACGTCTATTGCAGAAGAAGGGTCTTCCTTGTCAAGCATCCCCTGATGAGCCTCCTTGGGCTTGGCTTGGTCTCGAGCATGGAGACTGTGTTGGTGCGTCCGTGATCTCAGGGTCTTGGATCACAGGGCCCTGAGTAGGTATCTCGCCTCTCATTTCACTGTCCTTGTGCGCTCTCCCAAAGCTGAAAGGTCGCCAAAGAAGACGGCCCACAGAAGACCGTGCATTGATCATGACTATAAGAGAGCATGGGAGTTGATAGTTACTTCTTTTGACGCACAGAAAGCATAGCGTTGAGAGTCCAGTGTAGGCTATGAAATTCCATGTGCGAGTCTCACACACAGCTTGGGAACATGGGCAGACTACAGAGTTAGGTCTGAGAGGAGGAGTACAGATGAGATGGGGCAGATGCACCCCAGCCTGTGCTTGGACAAGGATCAACTTGCTAACTCGTTTTCTTGGATAAGTCTGAAAGTGGAGTGGGAATGGAGAAGAGACTTATGGATTTCACAGTGCAATGCGATAGGTACCATGTCACTCAGATTTCCTGAGTCCCTGCCAGCCCTCACTGTAGTCCTGTCAACAGCTCTGTGTCTTGACCATATGTAAAACACTCGTCATATTAATATAGGAAGTAGAAGAACAACACTTGTAAGGAGTAAAAAAAAGCCTAGGCTGGCCTAAAACTCAGTATATAACTAAGAATAGTCTTGCACTTGTGATCCTTCCTGCCTCCACTCCTCAAGGGTAGGGGCTATGGTGTGGCTCACCTTGCCTGTTCATCTGGACTTGAGACTGAACTCAAGGCTTTGCGTGTACTAGACAAGAACTCTTACCAACTCAGGTCATCCCTTGTCCTCTGCCCCAAAATTTAAAAATCACTTTGAAGATAACATCCAGGCAAATTCTCCACCACTGAGCTCCATCTTTCCCTCACAGAGGAAGAACTCGACACTCGGTTTCAAAATGAGGAGGAGGAGACGTGGATACGAGTGGGCTTTCCAAGAACTGCCTTAGCCTGGAGTCGGCGCCACACTCAGAGGGTTTTAAAGAATGAGAATGGAAGTAGAATATAATGGCTTCCCGTAGAGCATATTTTATAAATTAAGAATGACACTTTGTCTAAAATTATAGTGTTGTATTATGAGGCGGAACAGACGAGAACAGTTTGGTGATGCGGTAAGAGCAGTAGGTAGAAGTCTGATACATTTCTTCACTTGAAAAGTGCTAAGTGTGGCAGCCGACGTGGGGCTTTCTAAAATAGTCTCATTGTTTTTATGTTATGTGTTTGACGTTTTCCCTGCACGTAGGTTTGTGCACCAGGTGCGTGCTGGTGCCTCTGGAAGCCAGGGGAGGGCACTGAGTTCCTTGGAACCAGAGTTGCAGGTGGTTTTAAGCTGCCATGCGGGTGCTAGGGAGCGAATCACGTCCTCTGCAAGAGCAGGCAGTGCTCACAGCTGCGGAGCCATCGCTCTAGCCCGCTCTGAAACACTTTCAACTTCTACTGGATCTCAGGAGTGTAGGAGCTATGGCCCAGTGTACTGATTAACTGGGAGAAGAGCCCCTTCACGGATCAGCCGTGTGGCCCTGAGGACCAGGCACCCTTTCTGTGTGTATTCGCTTACGCGTGCCAGAGTACTGCATGGGTACAGGGAAGTATAACAAGATCCTGTCTATATAACAGGTGCCCAGAAACACGAGCGCTCTATACAGTTTTATTGTTCGTATAGACGGCCGTCAGTTAAAAAAAATACTTAACTTTCAGGATAGTTGGCAAAAGTTTTAACAGAAATTTGTAACTTTTCCTTTTTGTTAACTTGATAATTGACAAGGTCCTAAAAAGAATATGGGATAGGATGGACTAGATTTGTGTGTGTGTGTGTGTGTGTGTGTGTGTGTGTGTGTGTGTGTGTATGTGCGTGTGTCTGTGTGTGTGTGTGTGTGTGTGTGCGTGTGTGTTACCTTAATCACTAGTTGCTTGATAACACGTTACAAAATTCACCTTTGGGAAATTCTTGCATCACTGTTGACATTCTTATATTATCTTGAAATGGGCACTTGCTGTCTCTTCTAGAGCAGTCAGTGAGCAGAGAGCACATACCCGTGGTGTGTGGCTGTTCTAAGTGTCATTTACACCCCAGTATTCATTGAGTTTATCAAAGCGTTTCTCTGGATCCCTTCTCTGGATAAAGTGCTTGCCTTGGAAGCAAAAGTGTTAGGGTCCGCAGATCACTCCACAAGACCACCACTCACACACCCACTCCTCAAGGATGTTGATTTCCTGAGAACAAATCCGGTGGTGACCCTGAGAGAAGGTTGCAGGCTCTTTTTAGAATCCCCAGGGACAGTTAAGTCATCTCCAGCAAACACGATTGGTTAAGCAATCAGTGCTTACACAATTTGTTTAGCTGTGGCACCTTTGAGCATTTCAGGTCAAGCCAGGCAGGTATCAAAAGGGAGGGGAGTGGTTTGCAGGATCTTCCCTTTTCTGATTGGCAGCTTCCAGCCTCACAAGACAATGGCGAAGTGGCAAACCGGAGCTGGGGGCGGGGCAATGCCAAAAGCCAGGGCCCAGGCAAGTGGGAGCGCCCATCGGGGTCGGGCTCAGCCCCACCCACACTTGCCAGCAGCACCCTGCTTCAATGCAGCTTGGTGCTGCATGCTGTCTCCTCGCAGTGCTTGCTGGGCAAGCGGATGACCTCAGGTGTCCCTAGCAGCCATGCTCTGCTCTGCCGATGCCGCTCAAGGGCCTACGTTCAAAACCCTTAATCTGTGTTAAAAAAAAACAGAACAAAGCAAAGCAAAGAAAATAAAAAAGGGCATGGTGGCACATACTTTTAATCCCAGTATTGGAATGGTGGAGATTTGTGGACCCATGGGGCTTGCTGGTCTGACATCAAGGAGGGCAGTTAGCAGACACACTCGTGAACTAGACATGGTTCTGGTTGCATGAAGCATTGGGCTGACCCAGTTTGGTGTGACTTCCGAGTTCCCATCCAGAATCTTTGGAGAGAAAAGCGACTCTCCCTCTTTCCAGTTACTAACAGGTATGCTTTCTAGCTGTGGTTCTTTCCATTTTGTTGATGGTCAGGACTTAAATGCTGGGTCATCTGCTCTTTACTCTGATGTTGTAATTCTCCCCCACCCCCAAATACATATTTCCCAATCACAATCAGCACAAAACTATTAGAAGCTGTGTGATCAGCAAAGGAGGCTGAGAGAAACCTGTGGGAGGACAGAAATTCATGCCCATATGTAACAGCTCTTTTAAGAACCAATGACTGTCCCTTCCTGAGTTCTGCATGGGCACCTTCAGAGCATCCTGGAGCTGAAAGTTTTGGGTGCTCAGTGGCTTACATCTTAGATCATGACCTTGCTTTCATCTCCTCCTTGTATTCGGACTTCCCCAAAGAAACGAGGTCTC